TTTCTATTGAGGTCATTAGGGATTTAATAACAAAAGGAAGGAGGAGGGAGAATGTTATTTGAAATTGTCTGTTAGAGAGTTTATCCTTCCTTGAGGAGTCAATTATTACCTTCCATAAAGCAGGGTATGCAGTTAGTTTCTATTGAGGTCATTAGGGATTTAATAACAAAAGGAAGGAGGAAGGGGAATGCTATTTAAAATTGTCTATTAAAGAGTTTATCCTTCCTTGAGAGATATACTCAGCTTGTAGACATTAACAAGAAACAAATACTAATTTTGTTACCAATAATTTAAACTCTTTTATTATGTTTACATTGATAAAGTAAAATAATTGAGAAACTGACATACTTAATGATAAGTGTAATATTCACAACTAAAGATACTGCATTTATAGCAATGTTAAAAAAAAATAAACTGCAGCTTAACATACTGTGTCAAAATTGGACTCGGTTAGCTTCATAAAAATGAAGCCGGCATTCTGTTAGTAAAGAAAACTTTCTGCATCATGTGAAGAACTATGAACTTGCTATTAATTTTGTATGTCCTGTAGGTTTAAAGATATAAATTGTTATATTGTTTTTACCTTCTACAAAGTTTAAGAGACTATAATATGGGAAAAAAATTAAAATATTTCCATAGTTCATCATGATCATATATTTTTTTTAATGATTTGCTATCTTTATTTTTAGTAAATGTCTGATTAAGAACAGTCTTTTAGAAAACTAAGAACAAGTGAGCTGCGGCATCAATATTGGAACATATTTTTAAATACACATATGTTAAAGTTAGGCTCAGTTAACTTGTTTTTTGATGGATGCAACGCAAAGTCAGCTATAGTAAAGTTATCTCATTTTTTTTGTCATGATTACATCGTAGTTCACTGAAATTTTCTTTGTGTTGTTGTTTGAATTGGGAAAAATATTTCCAACTTTGATTTTACATAGTTTAAGTTCTGTGAAACAAGGTCGTATACCTTCAACAAGGTGTCCAATATTGCAATATTCTTTTGTTTTGGACAAGAGTTACAGGATTACATAGTACCAGCTAAGTGTAAATCAGAGTTTCTGAATCCCATGTAAGTAGCATAACAAAACCTGAATTAAATACGTAAGGCACGTTCATGAAATGGTTGTCATCAAACCATGTGTTCTTAGATCATTAAATATTGTATTATCAAATTAATTTGAAACACCCAAGAGCATGGTAATTATGGGTGTGGTAGCAGTCCAGAATTAGGTGATTAGTGGTATTTGTAATAAATTAATCAAGGGGCTCATTAATTGATTAATACAGCATTCCTGACAACATGATACATGTTCTGCTAAAAAAAAAAAAGTTTTTGCCAAAATAATTTTTTAGCTAAAATTATGTTTTGCACAAAATGTGAAAATGCCAATCTCCATAAGATGTCTATCATATGAAAGGCAGGGTAATTCGAAAATTAGCTTAATAGAAAAACAAAACTAGCTCAAAATCATGGAGATTAATATCATGTTAGAATAAGGTAGTGGTTCTCGAATTTTTGAAGGTGGCATACCTCTTATTTTATTTTTTCTTCACTGCATAAAATAGATAATCTGGACATTTTCTAATTGGGAAAAAAATCGATAATGTTGACTGGAGATGACCACATGGTCACCAGTTTGTTGTTTTTAAACTATGAAGTAATCTCCAGTTGATCCTGTGTAAATAAAATAAATTGATAATGAAATAATAATGTTTTAATAATCTTATTTAAAATTTATCACAAATGCAATTAGAAACAATTAAGTAGCCAGTTAGCCAATTTAATTATATAAGTTGTTTGAATAGGATAAACATAAAGATAATATTCAATAAATATTTGT